CCAGGAGGGTTCCCGAGCGCGTTATCTGGAATTGAGATACGTTCAGACCATGATCGCAGCACGCGTTAACGACCTTCTCGCGGTCGTCTTGGTTCAGGACGACAATCATACACTTCTTCAGATTCAGATGCAGACCCGTAACCTTACCCGCAACGCATAAACTCTTCATGATGAATGGTAATGGCTTTTACATATGGCGAGCGACAAGAGATAAATCGTCTGCACAAGCACTGGGTTCGAATTCAAGTCGGGGCCGAAGTTGGAGCAGATACCGAAGAACTGGATCCAGGATAAGCGCAAAGAGGACGCCGATCAATGGGCACCCCTGTTTCATGCCCCGAGACGCCCAATATCCTTGGGAACCATTGCCCATGGGGATATCTGTCCAGACAATTTGATACAATGCAGAAATGGCGGTCACCAGGAAACGCGGCAAACCCATCTTCGAAAGCACAAGAATGTTCCAGTTCTGGAACACACTCGGGGACGCGCTCTTAACATCGAAGAGCGTGAAACCACACCCTTCTTCATGCAGCGCTGCGCCCCAGAGAGTCAGCATGCCATCTAAGGGGATGATGTTCTCGTTCATGAGCCTACCTTTAACAAAGCCACGCTGATTCTCATCGCAGGTGTCAGCTGCAACCTCATTCAAAACTGAAGCGATCGCCACGCTCAGCAGCTTGTTGTCCGCGTTGGACAGAGACAAAGGCCGCGTCGCGCTAGGGCCCCTCACCTCCCCCCCCCCCCGAGGCCCCTTCGGTATGAATACGGCTCGGCAATAATTGAAGTCGTCCTCCAGACGGCCTCCAACCAAAATATACCCGTAAAACTGGTAGAGGGCTGGTTTGGCAACGGGGCCAGAATTCTGCCATGCAGAATGCGGGATCCCATCGGGGCCAGCTGCGGTGCGTTTCTTCTTGGACTTCAGAATTCCCTGGGCTTGTCCTTCGCTGAGCTTCCGATTAAAATGCCGATGTGTCTGGTTCGTGAACTGGTCGCCGCTGCCGTCGACATGCTGGATGTAGCTGCACAGCGGGCGCCCGTCAGGGAGCCCAACTGGAGTGCAACTAAAGACTTGGCCCCAGTGCCCGGCTAGCTTCGCTGCAGCTTCACTGGGGGTCGGCGTGTACTTTGCCATCTGGACCTTTGACCCCGACAAGCCTAACCCGAGGACGCCGAGCAGCCCAGGCAGATGCAAGACGACGGACACGCTTGATAGCTTGCTCGGCTTTCCCCGTACCTCCCCCCAATTGCCGCGGGGCCCCCCCGCCCCCCCCCCCCCCCCCCCCCCCCCCCCCCCCCCCCCCACCCACCCCCCCCCCCCTCCACCGCACGCTGCGCCCGCCTGAGTTCTGCAAGGTGCGCATGGAAGGCATCATGCCCAAGCCACGACATCGTAGCTGGGTTATAGAAAGTATACAGACGCCTGCACCCGAGACAGACACGCCGAGCGCGCCTTTGACTCTGAGAGCGGTCGGCCCGAACCAGCTTCAACATGCAGGCTGTCTTCTCTGCCTTGGTGACTGCGCCAGAAGTCTCAATGCGCTGGCGGACCTGAGAGCTGGCAAGGTGGAAGATGGCTTCGGTTCCTTTGACCTTCGTCGGCGGGTGGGGCGAGAGACCGATCTCCTGCATCAGCTGTTCAACGAATTCCCCGAACTTGCCATGTTTGGCGACCCAGGGCGGCTGGCCGTGCCGCCTTCGGGGCCACGAGGCGGCTGCGTAGTGAGAAATACTGGCGCATGGTCGGGGGGCTCGCGCTCCTCCGTAACTTCCCAAAAGACACCAGACGAGGGGCGATGACCAAGTAATGCAGGCGCGTCCATGTTAATGTAAATGCGATCGAGTCGAGCATAACGTTGACGACCTCGAATAATGGCTTTGTTAATAAAGGAAGGCTGGTCGACCCCTGAGAACCTCGGGGACAGGGTGTCAAAGACCGTGGCGAGCCCCGACGGAGAAAGAGTAGGGCTGGGAGGTGTAGGATAGCAGCAAGCTTCACCATGCTCGTGAAAGTTGAAGTCCCCGGCTACCACGCTAGTGCACTGCGCCTGCGGAAGCACCTGGGGGGAGAGGGGGGCGAGAACGGTGCGAGCGCACCTTTCCGACCACTCGGGATCAGAAAGAATCGCTGTAATCTGAAGACACCCACATGTCCCGCGACAATCCAGGGTAAGCACACGTCCAGGAACCAGGGGGGTCGATCGAGCCAACTTCTCAGCGAGGTTTTTGCGAGCCAGGACAACGACCCCCTCAGCATGCTCATCTTCGATGAACAAGCCGAAGATCACAAACCCAGGGTGGTCGCGTTCCAGAGCGCCACGATCCTCTTCCCGACCGTGGGCCCCCTGTGCAGCGATTACATCCTCTCCTAGCAAGCCTGGCCAACGCTTTGAATTTCTTACGAGCATGGAGGAAGGAAGAATGAATATAGTGAAAAAGCGCATGTGCATTCCAAGAGCACACTCGCAGCATTTGAGCAGGAACAAAAAGGCTTTCGGCCGGCGTGCGCAGCCGACGAATACGAAGGCTCGTCAGTACCCCAAGACGAGCTGGAGTGGATGAAGCAGCAGACTATGAGGCGGGCGTCGAAGACGTCGCGCCAACGTCGCTAGAGTCCTCCTCTGCACTGTCGGCTCTGAATACTGCGCCCGCTGAGTGTGACAAAAGTGCCTCCTAGGTGTAGAGGGCGCGCTGGTTGACGTCGGTCGGGATGGCCTCGATCTTCTGGATGTCCACCTGGAAGTAGCCGCACGTCGACTGGTCAATGTCGAAGGTGCCAGCCGCGCGGTTGACCTCATTGAAAAGAACCAGAGGCCACACGTCCGTGCCATTGGACCAGTGGACGGAGCCGTTGTAGCCGTTGATGATGGGCTTTGAACCTGGCACGAAGCTGGGACTGCTGGCGAAGACCTCGATGATTGTGCCCCATACTCTGCTCAGGGCGCGTTGCTTGGTGCGAACATCTAAGGGTAGGTCCGTGCGGGCCTTCATCGCGTGCAGCGAGCCGTCCCTCGGGTCCATCCACAGGTTCTGCGATCTATTGAAGAGGTCTATGAATTCCTTAGCGAGCGCCTCACTGGTGAATGTAAGGCTATATGACTGACTGATACGATGATACTGAAGTGTGACGTTGTTGAGCAGAACCGCGGTCAGGATCTGGTCTTTGAAGCTGGCGAAATGCGCCTGCCTCATGGAAGCTAGCACTGGTCGAGGAAACGTACCTATCCATCGCCTGCACGGGTCATACTTGTACGATGACGAATGCACTTTCTGAGCTGGCTCACCCTCGCTCTCGACACGTCTGGGCTTGGGACGCGGCGAGGACGAAACCCTGCCGACCCACGAGCCACTGGCTCCCACTGTCGAAGCAGCCGAGGAGCTGCCAGCACATGTAGATGATGCTTGTAGTACTTGAATAGGTCGCGAATGTTCTTGAAGCTGAGCATGCATGGCGGCGATGTGCTCTGACTGGGCTTTGATCCCTGCCGTGTTCTCGTCGATGCGCTTGTTGACGGCATCCGTGAACACTCCGAATTGTTCAGCGAGACTGGCTTGCATCTTGGCACCGAGATCTGTGACCTGCTTCTCCAACGCTGCTGCCAAGTTAGCTTGCATGGCCTGCGCCAGCCCTTGCATCTGGTTGCCACTCATCACTAGAACAGGTGCGATACGGAAGATAAGTGCAGTGACCGCCTGGCTTTGACCCCAGGAACGCCTCACAAGAGAGGCTGCCTCACTCAAGTGGCCGACATGCGCAGGAGGGGGCAGCACAGAGGCTGTCCCGCGTGCCCTGCTTGCCGCTGCTGGCACTTGAGCCAAAACGGCTACGGAGGAGGAGGAGGAGGAGGAGGAGGAGGAGGAGGAGAAGGAGGGGGGGAGGAGGGGGAGGAGGAGGAGGGGCAGGAGAAAGGTGCGGCGACGAGCAGGACGTGCCGCACCGCGCCGCGGCCTCATGCGAGGAAGGCGGCGGGCGGGGGCCGCGTCGGCGCGGGGGCTCGCCGCAGAGCGTGCGGGCCCGCCGCCTCTCCCCCCCCGTCCGCCGCGCGGTGATCCCCTGCGGCGCGGCCCGCGCCGAGGAGCTCTCCGACGACGAGCAGGGCGTGCCGCACCGCGTCGCGGCCTCCTGCGAGGAAGCCCCCGGGGCGGGCGGGGGCAGCGTCGGCACGGGGGCTCGCCGCAGGGCGTGCGGGCCCGCCGCATTTTCATAAGTCGGGCGTGTCCCCCTACGGGGGGATTTTCGACGAAAAATAAAAATACACCAAAATTAACCAGAAAATTATCCAACTACAATCTGGTGACACTATGTTTTGAATGTTTTGACCTTTTTGGTGTATGTTTGGGGTATGTTCATATTTTTCGTAGAAAATCCCCCTATCGGGGGACAGGCCCGACTTAAGCCTCTCCCCCCCCGTCCGCCGCGCGGTGATCCCCTGCGGCGATCGCCTCGTCGCGTGCTTCGGAGCCTTGCTCCGCTGGTGGCTCACCTGCAGACTCGAGGCTCGCTCGCTCCCCTCCCTTTTCCCCCTCCCACTCTCTCCGTTCCCCGCTCCTCCACTCCTCCCACCCTCCCCCTGTCACCCTCCCACCGCCTCCTCCCCCCAAGCCCCCACCCCCCCAACCCCTGCCCCCCACCCTCCTGGCTCCTCGTCCTCGCCCTCAGCCTCGTCCTGCGGCTCGCGCCTCGTCCTCCTCCCAATCATCCGCCCTCTCGTCTTCATCTGCAGCACCTTGCGGCCCCACTTGTCGCTCACAGGGCCAGCGATGGCCTTGGTGCTTCGCGCAGGGAACACGCGAGAAGGATGATGAGGGAAGGGGGACGAGCGTAGCCGAAGAGCGAGAGAGGGGGAAGAGGAGGAGGATGAGAATCAGAACGAGGGAAGAGGCAGCGGCGCTGGATGGGCAGGGGGTGGAGGCAGTTGCGCGCGGTGGCCCCAATGGGCGAACCGCCATCAACCGACTCCTCGTCAGCACTCGTCGGAGGCGAATGCGAGGGTACATGCTCTTTCTATCGGGCATCCAATGGCACGCCCGTGCGGATGAAATGCTCACGCCTGTCGCGCCACAACAACTCACGATGCACTTGGCGCAGGCACAGCCTCATGAGTCTTGGAGTCCCTGGCGTTCACGTACTGGCGCCGCCGTGGATTAGTATGTTTGTTTCGCGCCTCCGTGCGCCGCGGGCTCCTCGGCCGCGGACTCACCGGCCCGATGCTGGCAGACGAGCCCTGCGGCGAGAGCAGGGGGCTCTGCATGAACTGCACCTGCTTGGAGACCGGCGGCCGCAGGGTGCCGATCGCAGGAGTGGAGGGGCTCGTCAGCCCCGACGAGTCCTCCGCGGCCGGTCTGAGCGGCACGGGCGACTTGCCAGGTGACGTCTCCTGGAGCGCCTGCGACAAGCCCTGCTCAAGCGTTCCGCTGCTCGAGGCCCTCGGCACCTGCGGCTGCCTCAGCAAGTGGTCATCTGATCCCGTCGCGCCAGACTGGTCGGTGTCGACGGTCACCATGGGCTGCTTCAGGCCCGCCAGCATGCCGAGGCCCTCCCCAACGTGCTCCGCGGCTTGCACGCAGCTGTGCTGCAACTGGAGCAGTTTCTCGATCCTGGCCTCGAGGCAATTCATCTTGTCCTCGAACGCTTCGTTCATGCTGTCTATCGCTGCGTCGAGCCTCACGACTCGGTCAGACATAAACTCGTCCAGCTTGCCGAGCCTCTCCTCCACTACTTCCTGGAATACTTGCTTGTCGAGGTCGTTCGGGGCAAACTGGTCCTCACAGAAATCAGACCTATAGCAAATCCACAGGAAGTGCTCCTTTTCGGGGCCCTCCTCGCCATCCTCGCGCAGCGGGAACCAGTCGCTCGCCATCCACACCGCCTGTGTCACGACCTGCGCGTACGCGAGGAGCACAGCCGACGCCAACTGCACGCAATAGACTCCCCGACCATGGCTTTTCAGGTGCAGCAAGATGCCGACGATCACACAGAAGACGCAAGAACCCTTCAGAAACTGCAGGACATTGGCCGAGCGGCCGGGGGAGGTCTCGTCGTCCGGCGGAAGCTTAATCTTCTGCAGGCTGAGCAAGATCTCACAGCAGGCCTTGGCCCGTTCTCGCTGAAAGTGAAGTTCTGCTTCCTTCTCAAGACGGTCGTACTCCGCGCTGTAGACGGCGGTCGTCAGGTTCATGATCACTATGTTGAAAAGCAGAGTAGCGAGGAGCATCACGCTCGTCTGAGTGAAGTTATTCACCGAAGGTGCCCCTCCCTCGTCGGTCGTACACATGAACTGCAGGCCCATCGCATCAAGCGCATCCCCGTCGCCGAAGAGCAGGCCGCGATACAGAAAGAGCCACCCCATTGAGGTGTACGTCGGCGTGTTGCTCAGCATGGCGAAGGCCAGACATACGGAGAAGAAGAACAGCAACGTCACAACCATGACCTCGCAGATCGCACCACTCGAGAAAGCACTCAGAATGGTGCTGATCTTCTTGCAGAAATTGGTCAGGCGCAACATGTAGATCACCTTATACAGCTGAAGCACGGTGTTGGCCGTGAGCATGGCCTGCCCCGCGTCCCCCACGGCGCCGCCTGTGGTTCCGAATGTCAGCCACACGAAGCCCAGCTTGGACACCATCAGGCAGATCTCGAATATTGTATGGAGAGTGAGAAACGCTTGGGGCCGCCATAAGGAATGCAAGCTCGGAGGCCGCGACGCGGGACTGCTGGCCCCTTGTTCGCCTGCAGCCTGAGGCTTTTCATTCGACTGCCACGCGCGGTACTTGGCGTAATGGGCTGCGTACTTGGCCGCATAGGACCTGTACCACCATGCCATGTTTAGCATGTCCCTGAGGACGCTCGCAGCCACTACGGACCACCACAGCGAGGGGCGCAGCCAGAGAGACCCGCCTGCGCCGCGGCTCTGCATGCTGATGTTGAGAAGGCCCCAGTACCCCTGCACCACCAGGTCCACCACGTTAAGGAAAAGCCGCGTGTAGACTACAGGTATACACAGGTTGTCCCAACAGCAGTAGATGATGCCCTGGACCGACAGCTTCGCGAATATGCAGCTGTGCGCCTCGGGCGTCGAGGCCAAGGCCATGAAGATGTCGATGTCTAGGATGTTCGGCAATAGCACGACCTTCGTGTCAACGTCGTATACATGGTCGCGGCGTTCCTGGTCTTCGGCAGGCGTCTGTACCAAGTCGGCGTGCCACCTCTCGGTCTGCACCTGGTCCTTCCAGTCGGCTTTGTCGGCCTTGTCGGAGTCCCACTGCCACTGTGGCAGCCTGATCTTCTCTTTCTCCGTGGAGTCCCGAACCTGCAGGCCGCTCTGCTGCTCCACGTCCACCGCTTTGAAGTCCGCCTGGTACGTGCAGCGCATGCGCTTGTGGTACATGAGGCCCCAGAGGCTGGCGCGCGTGCGAATCGGGTGGTGCCCAGGGTCCTCCACGGCTGGCTTCACGAGCAGGATCTCCAGCATCTTCGCCGCGGCCTCGGGGGCCATGTGGAACAGGCTGGCCATGTGGTCGACCGCGTTGTCCTTCTGGGCGTCAATCCTCACGCGGACGTGGCAGTCCGGGTCCTCGGATAGGTGATGAGACAGCTGATTCGCCGCATCCGTGTTCAAGCATGACAAGACGCACATATCTTCCAAGAACGAGTGCTCACACTTCGTATTGGCCATGGGCGACCCCCCCTCGGAGCTGGTGCTCTTGACGTGGATGATCGACGGCTGCTGCTGCGCAGTGGCCGGCTCCCTCGTTGCGACCTGGAAAGACGGTGCCAGGAAGTGCAGAAGCCGCCTGGGGAAGCTGCTCTCGTCCTGCACTGCCTCCTCCAGAGGTATCCTGTTCTGTAAGTTCCTGGCGTCAAGGCGAGCCTTGGCCTTGATCATCGACCGTACCATTGCCTCAAGCTCCTGCTCGGTTTCGTACCCTTGCAAGAGGCTCTGCTTCGCAATGAAGTGCAACGGCGTATTGCCTTCCCGGTTCTGCTTCGAGGGGTCCGCGCGGTGCTTGAGCAGAAAGGTCACTGCGTCAGCTTTGCCCAAATAAGCTGCGTCATGGATGGGAGCGTAAAACTTGTCACTGCCCATCATACAATATCTGTTGACCAGGTCGGGCACCTTGTCAAGCCCCTCCCGCTGCGACACCGCATCGATGATGGCCTGCAGCACCGGCACGTAGCCCAATCCAGCAGCAACGTGGATGGCCTCGAGGTCGTTCCGCATCTCCCCCTTCCAGTAGGACGCCTTCCCGTGCACGTCGGCCCGAGCGTTGAGGACCCTCCTCACGGACTCGGCGTCGGCCTCCCTCTCCTTCACCGACACGGCCATGGCATGGTGCAGGAGCCGCGCCTGAACCTTCCTGTTCTTGTGCGGGCAGTATTTATATCCGTTTCCAGTGCGTCTTGGACTTTCTTGGAAGGGGCGCCGCAAGGCCGAGGCGCACTGGATATGGACAAACATCTAACCTTTCGGAGGCAGATCATAATCCATATCCAGTGCGCCTCATGCTTCTTGGGAAGACAGCCCCAAACTCCAAGACGCCCTGGATGTGGGTGTAGACACTGCCCGCATCTTGTACTCGAGCAGGTCCTTCAGCTCCGCCTCCAGGTCCTCCTGCGACAGAGCCCCCGGGCTCGCCCTCAGCAGCTCGAGCCACTCCGCCGCCCTCTCGCAGCTCTTCTCGTGCTCCGACCGCGTGTCCTTGCTCGGCGCGCGCTCCTCGGAGCCCGCGGCCTCGCGCATGTCGCTGGCCAGGTCCCCGGTGAAGCAGACGCTCCGCAGGGTGTTCCAGCGGCGCGAGGCGGCCCCGAAGAACTCGGAGATGCTCCCGCGGCTGTGGCGCGTCCACATCCTTCGGAGGTCGGGCGGCGCCACGGACGGGACCGTGACCGCCCTCTCCCTCGAGGGAGACCGCGACCGGCTCGCAGAACTCCGACTGGGGCTCTTCGAGCCGTCGGACTTCAGCGGCGCAGACATCTCCGGACAGGTGTTGGCCTTCCGGACAGGTGAGGGCAGTTCCGGACAGGAGCGTCTCTTCTGGTGTCTGGGGATATCGGCAGATGAGGCGTGGGGACCATCTTCGGCGTCCAGCGCCCTCCGCTGCTCCTGCTCAGGGCCTTCGGCGAGGTCCGAAGGAAGCGTCGCATGGCGCTTGCGCTGTCGCAGGCCTTCGGTCTTAGCGGCCCCTGCGTCCGCTGGCCTTCCCGCGTCCGATGAGACGCCTGCGGTGGCAATCGCCTTCACGGCGAACTGCAGAGTCTTCCACCGCCTCTTGTCTTTTTCCACCTCGGCCATGCTCGCCGATCTGGGGACACACCCCTGCGAGGCATCCGGCTCCGATGTCAGCTCGGCCCTGTCTGTCGCAGGGGACCCGTCGTCTTCGCCAGCGGGTGAGGCCATGGCCAGCCCCCGCCAAGACGCCCGACAGCGGACGGGGCGTGCACATGGCGCGGCGCCTGGCCCTGTGGAAGGCCCTTGAGGCAGACTGTCTACTGAGGCTGTCGTGGAGGGAGAGGATGCGCTCCCCTTTTGACGAACCAACAACACACACCCATACCCATAGGGGGGTCGGAGAGGGCTATGGGTGCGTGTTGTCGGATGGGGGTCCCCGTTCGAACGGGAGCGTTCCCCAGGGTTCGACAACCCGCACCCATACCCATAGCCAGTCCTCCTCCCAACGACCCCCCTAAGGGTATGGGTGTGTGTTGTTCGTTCGTCACTTTTGTAGACCCAGGGCCAAACCAGCGGAGGACGACGTGGCAGTGAATTCCGCGAGCCAGCACTCTTGAGGCATCTCGACCTGCCGACACCAGTCTGGGGGACCTGAGAGCTGGGAGGCGAAGAGGTCCCGGGGCAGCCTGAAGGGGCCAAGGATGATGGCGCTCCCGTGCTCAACAAAGCCTCCAATTTCAGATCCCTGGGACCAGGAGAACGGAAGGCCCCAAACGGGTCGAAGAAAATTGTCATTGAGCGTTCAAATTTCGACAGACGACAGACAGGTTATAATAGTAGATAGGCTACGGACACCAGCAAAAGCTTGGCAGCATGTGCGCATGATGATAAATCCCAGAGCTTGAAAACATTACGCGCTGTGGCTCTAAGCACGGAGCACATGAGGCTCTTAAGGACCAGATGCCCCAAATTCTGCAATCTGTAAACCTCATAGATACCCCGTAGACGGGAAGCAACTTCACGGGCACCCTGGGACAGACGCCCACAAGCACAACGATTGATCACACGTGGTTCAAGCAACTGGAACACTGTTCTACTTTCGCTGGGGCACGCATGACACTTGAAAGCCTCGAAGGAGGCTACCAGTAGCGACCCTGGGTCCGATAGACCCTGCCAGTCAGATACTTGCCTCGAGCCCGCGCTAGGCCTCCTATCCCCTGTCCCCCTGAACAGACAGATCACAAAACCAATCGACGACGCTCTCAGAGCCAGGGCGGTCCTCTCAGGGACGGAAGCAATGAACCTTTACATTTGATGTTCGGGACTTGGGAAATTATGTTGAACATCCAAACGTGGAGGCGTTCTGCGAATCGCCCCGCGCGCCTTTCGAGCCACAACGCCATGGAAGCAACGCCGAGTTCGTCAGATGCGGCGCCCCCAGGCCCCAACGGGGTCGGCCTGGATCAGGATCGGCCAAGGATAGCTCCAAGGAGGCCAAAGGTAACCCAATATGGCCTCTTGTATTGGACCAGATAGCCCAAAGATAGCTCATGACGGTCTCCACCATGTCTCAAAGAGGCCCCAAGACCAGTTCGAGACGGCTCAAAGTAGCCACGGGGCGGGGCCTCCCGAGGATACTCCCGATAGGCGAATGCCCATCAAGACACCCACAGATTTGTCAGTCAAGTTAGCCTTCTCGCTGTTTCATTTCCGTGAGGCCGGAAACAACTATACACCACACCACCCCGACGTCGTCCCCGGCCCTGAAAAAGTCCAGGGATTGAGAAAAAGCACGCCACTGGTAATGTACATGTTCCAGTTTCCGACATTGCATGTTCCAACAAGGGGCCGAGTACCAGACGTCACGACTGGAGGACCCCAAGTCGGCCGACGCGAGCCGAGAGCTCCTCTGCACGCGCCGCCCTCCCAGACGTACCTTCCCCCGCCTTCTTGCTAGACCCGCCAGCCCATCGCAATTGCCCTGGATGCTCGATGGCCCAAGGCGGCAGATGCCTGCATCTTTCCTGCGCCACCACTCTTGAGAACGGCCTTCCTGGCAACGACACGCATTGCTGAGGGTGCTGCTGATGCAAACGCAAGCGAAGCGTAGACCCTTCAGTTTCTCGACCAGGCCCTCAACGCGGACTCGGACCATGAAATGTTGGAAGGGGGTGGGCCCCTAATTATTGCAAGGGGGCGGACCCCTAACTTTTGGAGAAAGAGTGAGCCCTTCAGTCTTGGAACGGGGGTGGACCCTTAAAGGTGTTCGGGAGGTGTCTCGAAAAGTACCGCGATAAACGCTGCCACTTATTTTCTACATGCGAAAACAATATGGAAAATAAGAGTCCAGCGTTAGCGGTCCACCTCTCCGAAGTGGACTTCGAAGCGTACAAGATGTACCTTTCATTCTGGAGGGGGAAGGTCGCTGGGAATACGACAACCTCATTGCGGCACGCTTCGCTTCATCCCCGCCCTCCTCCGCCTCATCTGCGTCCACCCCCTTCCTCACCAACCGCGTCCTGATCCTGGCACTCATCAAATCATCTCCGTCAATACCATCTTGTAGTCATAACCTTCGTCACTCACCCGCCAACAGGATCCGACGGCGGAGAACATAACATTCGGAAGGTTGGTTCAAACGTCACGGAGACGGTGCGAGCCGCCGATCCTCTCGCCAACCCGAGAAAACTAGAGGAAACCCTGACTATCGGAAAGCCCGCCATCTGATTGTCACAAGCTATACAAATCGGTTCCCACTGGCTGGCGGATACGCGGCCGCACCGTGTCCGCGACAATTGAATCGGCACTCGGAGTGTCACGGTTTCCGCCGTCGACCTCGGTCTCGGGGGCGGATCGGCGTCCCGCGCCGTCTCCGTGACATTTGCATCGGCCCGCCCACCTTGCGCACGAGCTCGGCGCGGGGGGGTGGCACTGAAAGGCGGGAGGAAATCCCCGCTCCCACCAGACCTCTGGGCGTAAGTGTTCAAGGGAGTTCCTCCCCCAATCTCCTCCTCCCCCCTGGGGAGAAGGCGTGCCCTTCCCCTTCCCACCCGCTCACCTGGATCCTGACCGCGAGGGCCGCGAGGGGTTAGAGCGTCTCAGATGGTCCAAGATGGCTCCAACAAGGCCACAGATAGCCTCAGACGGCTTCCAAGATGGCACAGTATAGTTCAAAACGAATCAGGACGACGTCCAATATGCCTCCCAGAGGCTCAAGACCGCTCCAAGACGACTCCAACTAACAGAAACGACACTTCCACGACATGACTTCTGTCAATTGCCTGTCGGCCTGCAACGCCCAGATGGACCATTTTGAGACCCTCCCGGGTGCCATTCTGGAGGCTGCGGGGGCATACGCTCATGAGCCCTGGCCGACATGCGGTCGGTTGGCGCGACGGCGCAGCGGACAGCACTGCAGCGCCTGGAACGGCCGTGATCGAAACTGCCACTCTGCAGACTGCACGAGCAGAAGACACGCCCGCGAACATGACAGAAGACAGATCCGCTGCATGGAATGGACCTCTCGCGCCGAGCAGCTCGCGCGAGACCAGCGTGTGCCACGGCGGTCCAGCTCGGACCGAGTAAGGGAAGACACCTCCGAGAGGGGCGGACCCCCCCCCGACGGGTGTGGCGTGGGAGCGACATGGCCACGGTATGTTGACAGCAGCGATACGTCTGCCACCTCCTCCTCCTCCTCCTCCTCCTCCTCCTCCTCCTCCTCCGACCCCGCAAAGGCTGCGACAACAACAGGAGCCACGCAACTTGCTCACAGGAATCGCCGTTCAATCATCGCAACAACGCCGGAACGGGCGTCGACTTTGAAACCCCGTGTTCCAGAGGCACGTTCACTTCATTTCCCAAAACCGGCCTCAAAAAAAAACAGAGCCTCATGTATTACACGTGATTCAGGGATCCCACGGGCCTGCGAAGTAAATTTCCGTTCGTCCGGGCAGAACGCTAGCGCAACGACGACGGATCGGGTCAATCACACGTCTTCCCCCGTTGCATGGTGGCTGCGTAGGTTATCTGTGCCCGGGTCAAACGAGGCTTGGGGTCCAGGCAAGGCAACGGGATAGAGAAACACAATAAAAATGGAAGCAAAGGAAAACGGAAATCGGTCGCGACATACGAGTTCTGCTTCAACCGGAAGCACCCCTTCCCGCGGATACTTGAAACATCTGATCAGAGCAGCCCCGATCCAGCGGCCCCCTCTGCGAGTCAAAGGCTGTGAAGGTCAGTGCTGCACTGCCGCCTTGCAGGTCTCTCCCCGTTGTCCTTCTCGGCAACACTCCTGCCTGCTGTCTCTCCAATCGCGTCTCATATATGCTATCTGTTGCGATGGTCGCGCAGACCAAAAGAGCCAGGTGGTTGTGGTGATCTCAGCCCCCTGGCCGTCCCATGATGCCCAGCAAGTCCCATAGCGGCGCCAGTAGATTACAAGGAGGGCCTCGAGATGTTCCAGGAGGACCGCAAGAGGTCCAGAGGAGTATCACAATAATTAAGAACTCAGACGGCCAAAAATGTCTCCATGATTCCCCCGAGACGGGCCAAGTGTTGCCGAGAAAGGCCCGAAGAAATACCCGAGGTAGCTCAAACATATTGACAAACCTTTGTGTCGGGTCAACTCTGTTCTGCCTGTCGTATTGAATCTGGAATGTCCCACGATGGTTTCAAGATGGTCCCCAGAGGCCCCAAAATAACCCGCGATGTCCCCAAGCTATCGCACAAAAGCCCGAGATGTTGCCCAAACTGGCCCTTGATCCCTAGATAGCTCAAAAGGTCAAGGACAATCACACAATGCTCCCACCAAGATGCCGACAAGGCTTCCGTGGGAGCGCGAGCTTTTGCTGCGCGAGGCCTCAAGATGGCTAAGCAAAGCTCCGCGAAGGCCTCACCAATACCAGCATAGCCTGCTGATGACCCAACCTGGAGGACCGCGGCCAGAGCACTCCAACACTTCCGATACGCAAGCACGCGAAGCGCACACACGTGCTCAAAATCTGCAAAGATCACCCGCCCACGCACGCTTTCCGCTTCCCTCTCCCTGCCTCCTCCACCTTCCTCCCCCGTCCCCCGTTTCTTCCATCTCCCATCCCCCTCCGCCACTGTTCCTCTATATTCCCCTTCGCTCACCCTCCGCTTCACCCATCCCCATTCCTTCCATCCCTTGTGTTTTCGCCCCCCCCCGCTTTCCTCCCGTGCCCGCCTAGGCCCGAGCCGTAGTCGCAGCCATATTGCCTCCTTTCGGCACACTCTGACCCCTCGGCTTGAGACCCTGCGCGCCGTGCCCCGGGGCGAGGTGCCCACTCGCAGGCGCGGCCG